TGACAGCACTGAAAAGCAATTTAAAGAAATTTGACTGAATGGGAAAGATTATAGAGAAATCACAAATTTAAAAAAGCCACAGTTTCCGATTTCCAAGGCTCCAATTTCAAAGTTATAACAATATATATGTGTTTTCAAGGTTATAATGTAAGTGGGACTTCTGTGTTCGATGGACAGTATTACTGCACTGAAAATGGAAAAAAAAAAATTTTGTTGGTTACATTTTATCAGGGTGAATGGATATTCACGTTGCTCTGGTGGGTATTGAAAAACGAATGCAGTCAGCAAACCAAGACAAAGTCAAGGATGTGTTTCATGGCATGTGTCATCAGGACCAAACCCTGGAGCTCATCCTTGATCTATGTGGAGACATCTAATCCAAACTGGCAGCAGTGGAAGAGAGACAGGAGTGCATGGAGCAAAAACAAGACCGTCTCCGCGAATTAGTCAAACTGTTCCCAGTCAGGAAAAGGAGAGAGAAAGCTGCCTATCCCCACACGCCCAGTCAGAAGATACACCACAGGGTGATCGCCATCAACCACTGTCTGAAAATCGCCGGCGTGTGTTGTTCGACTTGTTGGCCTTATCTAATGGAGATGCATCTCCCACACCGGTACCCGTACGTTCCATGGCAGCAACCGAGACACCTCAAGATGACAGCCGGGATCCCAATGAGTCGGAGAAATCCGTCTCATCGCCAGCAACTTTGATGCCTCGCACTGTGACCGGTCCGGAAAATGACACCTATCTACTTGGCGGGAATGAGGGTATTGTCCGTGTGGTTGACGACTACAAGGTCATCCTGAAAGAGGTGCAGCAACGAAAACGATGCACAGACAATGACAGAGGAAGGCTCATGTGCATTAACCTACTGAAACGAGAGATCCCAAAGAAAGAAGTGGCTGCCCAAAATGTGACTGGAAATTCCAGAGATGCAAATAATGAAAGATATAAGATCCCTCAAATAAACCGTGGCATCGTACAAAGTATTTTCAGTCAAGCAAAGATTCACTGACTGGTACACGGACAGTTGAGTAAAACGGTTGAGGCACTCAATGAATGTTGCAAGAGGGCTAGATACAAAGTGATTATTCGTAGAACATAGTTTGCCAAGTGTATTTGTAAACCTGCCATTTTAACTCATCAAACAGTGCATTTTGCATTATGCATTGAACTCCAGTCATCTGTGCATATTACTTAAAAATGATAACTCGTGCTTTCGTGTTCAAAAAGGAATTCTGGTAGGCTTAGTGTTTGTTTTGTATTAAAAATAACATTGTTCAAACTCCGGGACAAGATGTATAAATGTAATCGTCAATCTAGATTTTATTCAATTTAGTTGAATTCATTTTAGGGGAAGAATTTCCTGTCGTTACCATGTAAACTGCAGAATGGGATGGTGCAGTCTCTTTATCCATGTGGCTTATTAAAACGTCCCAGAATATCATTCCCACATTAGAGAGTAGTAATTTTTAAGTATCTTTATTTAATTACTCTCACTTTATTCATAACTTCCGTTGAAGAGTTTAATCAAGTAAGATAAAGAGTTTAATCAAGTTTTCACAGTATTAACTTTATCCTTAGTTTATTATGAAAAACCTCTGTACATTTAGAGGCATTTGGATGAAAATTAATTCACCAGTTGTAAAGGAAAGAAGTGGAAAATAAATGTTATTCCTAATTTTACAATAGAAAACTAGTGTTTCAATCATTTAACGTTTCCATGAAAAAGTTTCAAGTCCAAGGATAACTTAAAACCAATCTTTAAACAAGAAATAGTTTTTACGTAAGTAAAACAAAACATCAGGAAAACAGGTAAAAAGCAAAAACAATGTCATGCACATTAACCACTTCGTGCCGGGGCATTTTTTAACATTGA